TGTCATTTATGTTTTTCAAACTTAACTCCCGATGGGTTGGTCACTCTCTAAAAGTGTCAAAGTGTGATAGATTCAGAGATGAACTATCAAGAACATGCCAACTTGAATGATATGAGAATCGGCTCGAAAGAGTGATTTTTAACAAAGAGATTTGTTTAGCCATATATCGTGAAGACACCATTTTGCTACTATCCCTGGTTTGAACACCACATAGAGATATGGGTGCTAAGCTATAATATAGTGCAAAGGTGAAGTCCGAGAGGAATACCTTCAAGATAGATGGTGGAACTAGTTATTCTACAGCTTTGTCTGCTGGATTTTGCGTTTACGTTTCACCCCAAATCTTACACCCGTGCTACCTTTATTATTATGTTATATTATTTGTGCTAACTCATAATCAAACTGAAGTCTTCATTTGTCGTCATCTGAAATCTTTTCTTTTATTGGACTCTCATTAGACTTTTGCTACAATCCTCATGGATGATAATCCGGCACTTGTACCACTTTATTACTTGGAAAGACGATATTGAGCCATATTGTATACTTGCTTTGTGGCCCAATTTTATTAGTCTAAAGGTGTTAGTAATAGCCCGAACCAAGTTTTTGGCGCCGCTGCCGGGGATTGGCAACCTAAAAGTTTTCTTTTGAGTAAAGTAAAAGATTTGATTTTTCTAGTACCGTTTTAATCATCTTGAAAGTGGTGTATGCCAAGAATACATCGCGGGGAATTTTTCGAAATTGATCCAGATATTGAGAGAACGTTTCACCATAGAAGGAGGGTTCAAAGAGCATTTCAGGCTCTACTGCCTCCCAACATGGAGTTACCTCCTCCCATCATTCCGGAAGTACCACATTTGGAAAACCAACCGCCAGTTTTTGGGCAAATACCACTGTTCCCAAATTTTCAACAAGGACACCCACATAATGATAATGATAATAATTTGGACACAGAATCGGACCATAATGAGCAACAAAGGGCACAAACTCCAAACATCATTAATCTGGCAAATTCCAAAAATGGAAGGATCATGGATTATGTTATCCCGGATTTTGAGCAATTAAATTCTGGGATGGTTAGACCACATATGACCGCTCTCCATTTCGAACTAAAACCGATAATGTTTCACATGTTGCAAACTAATGGCCAATTTGTTGGACTGCCCTCAAAAGACCCACATTCTCACTTAAAGTCTTTTATGGAAATCACATATGCCTTCCTGATCCCGGGAGTGTCTAATGACGCTCTCAGACTTACTTTATTTCCATTTTCATTAAGGGATCGGGCAAAAGCATGGTTTAACTCTTTAACACCGGGATCTGTACCGTCATGGAGTAACATGGCGGAAATTTTTTTGCAAAAATATTTTTCACCAACAAGGAACGCTAAGTCCAGAAACGAAATCTTTCTTTTTAAACAACTGGATGATGAAGTTGTTCTTGACACGTGGGAAAGGTTTAAAGAGCTGTTGAGGAAATGCCCACACCATGGCATTCTGTACTGTATTTAACTTGAGACATTTTACAATGGGTTAAGTCCCATGGCAAAACAAATGCTCGACGCGACTACAGGCTGAGCCTTTACAGCCAGTACCTATAATGAGGGATATGAGATCCTAGAAAAGATTTCAGCAAACAATGGGCATTGGGCTAACCCACGTGCCCAGCCACAGAAAAAGACTACTGGAATACATGAGGTGGATGCATATACTGCATTAACAGCTTAGCTCACCTCCATGACCAATTTATTGAAAAATTTAACTACTGGTCAGGGAGTACAGCAAGCTGCTAACACATCTGTTACAACAGTCCTATCTGTGCAATGTGTGTGCTGCGGTGGGGATCATTCATATGAACATTGTACTCATAATTTTGAATCAGTAAATTATGTTCAAAACAAATCTAATCCCTAATCTAACTCATATAATGCCAGTTGGAGACAGCACCCGAACTTTTTCTTGGACCAGTCCCAGTCTTAATCCACCAGTCCATAAGCAACAAAGAACTTCTAATTTCCAACCATAGCGTCATGCAAACAGTTCTAACTCTCAGAACCACCAACAAAGTTTTCAGAATTCTCAACCACATTTTCAGACCAAACCTCCTCAACAGGCAGAATCATCATCTTCTTTTGAAGCAATGATAAAAAGGCCTTTAGCACATGCTTAAACCCAAAATCAAACTTTGATAAATCAATAAAGTGCTGCCATCAGGAATTTAGAGACTCAGGTCAGTCAACTTGCACTTAACCAGCGTAGTCGAGCCTTTGGGACCTTTCCCAGTAATACAGAAGTCCCTTGAGATCTAGGAAATGAGCATGTGAAAGTAGTGACTCTTAGAAGAGGAAAGGAGTTGACAGAAAAAGTACAGAAAGATAATACACCAAGACTGTCATAAACTAGTGATCCGGTAGCGGTCCTACATCTAGAAAAGCAAACATCTGAGACCACCACTCTTGTTCCCCCTAGATTAGACTTCCCTTTACTTTTTCCAGAGGATACTCTGAAAAAGTCAGAAGGGACTGAGGTTGTAGAGACCCCTAAGCTTGACACTAAGATTCCACCAGAACCATCAAAGAGCACTACTAAGACTCAGGGCATTCAAAACCCATCTTGCTCAACACCTCCATGCAAGAATGTGATAAAACCAATCCCTTCTTATGTTCCTTACCCCCAAAGGTTGATGAATCAGAGAGAGGAATTGCATTTTAAGAAATTCTTAGATATGTTTAAAGAATTGCACATCAACATACCCCTTGTTGAGGCAATTGAGCAAATGCCTAGTTATGCTAAGTTTCTAAAGGACATCTTAAGCAAGAAAAAGAAGTTGACTGAGTATGAGACTGTAGCTCTTACTGAAGAATGTAGTGCACTTTTGACCAATAGCATACCCCATAAGCTTAAAGATCCAAGGAGTTTTACCATTCCTTGTTCAATAGGAGGGAAGGAGATAAGGAAAGCCCAATGTGACTTAGGAGCTATTATTAAACTCATGCCTTTGTCTGTCTTTAACACCTTAGGCATAGGAGATGCTAGACCTACCACAGTCACACTCCAGCTAGCAAATAAGTCCATTGCATACCCTAAGGGAAAGATAGAAGATGCGTTGGTACAGGTTGATAAGTTCATATTTCCGGCAAATTTTATCATATTATATTTTGAGGCTGATAAGAACATTCCGATTATTTTAGGAAGACCTTTCTTAGCCATGGAAGAACTTTGATAGATGTCCAGAAAAGAGAGTTGACCATGAGGCTTCAAGACCAAAAGGTCACATTTAACATCTTCAACTCCTTAAAATACCCTGATTATCTGGAAGAGTGTTTGGGCATAGTTGAAATAGAAGAAGAGATTATTGGGGAAGAAATTCAGGAAAACCTTAGGTTGGAAGAAGAGAGTGTAGAGGAATTAGAAGAAGAGATTGTTGAGGAAATAGAGGCAATAGGAAATGATAATGTGCAATAGAGGTGTCAGCTTTTGAACTTTTGGAGAATAATGAGCAAAAAGATTTCACCCCGTCCATAGTATCACCACCAGACCTGGAGTTAAAGCAACTCCCATCCCATCTAAAATATGCTTTTCTAGGAGAAGAAGGCAAATTGCCTGTCATTATCTCATCTACCCTAGACTTGCATCAAGAGAAGAAACTAGTAGATATGTTGAAAATGTACGAAAAGGATTTAGGATGGACCATTGCTGACCTTAAAGGGATTAGTCCCTCAATTTTTCAACATAAAATCATCTTAGAAGAAAAAAATTCACATCCATAGAACCTCAAAGAAGGCTGAATCCTGTCATGAAAGAGGTAGTAAAAAAGGAGATTTTGAAATGGTTAGATGCAGGAATTATCTTCCCGATAGCCAGTAGTTCTTGGGTTAGYCYGGTCCAGTGTGTTCCCAAGAAAGGAGGGTTCACAGTCATCACAAATGAAAAAAATGAACTCATCCCTACTAGAGTTGTCTCCGGTTGGAGAATATGTATGGACTATAGGAGGCTAAACAAGGCTACTCACAAAGACCATTTTCCACTACCTTTCATTGATCAAATGTTGGACAGATTAGCCGGCAAAGAGTACTACTGTTTCTTAGATGGCTATTCAGGTTACAATCAGATAGCTATTTATCTCGAGTATAAGGAAAAGACCACCTTCACCTGTCCTTATGGCACTTTTGCTTTCAGAAGAATGCCATTTGGACTGTGTAATGCTCCTGCCACCTTTCAGAGATGCATGATGTCCATATTTTCTGATATGCTTGAAAAATCCATTGAAATCTTTATGGATGATTTTTCTATATATGGTTCATCTTTTGACAACTGTTTGGACAATTTAAAAAAAGAGTCTTGAGAGGTGTGAGGAAACTGATTTGGTCCTCAACTGGGAGAAGTGTCATTTCATGGTTAAAGAAGGAATTGTTCTGGGACACTTAATCTCTAAAAAAGGAGTGGAGGTAGATAAAGCAAAACTTGAAGTTATTGAAAAACTACCAGAACCTACCACTGTTAAAGGAATCAGGAATTTTTTTGGTCATGCAGGATTTTACAGAAGGTTCATAAAGGATTTTTCAAAAATATCAAAACCTTTATGTTTACTCCTACGACATGACCAAAAATTTGATATTAATGATGAATGTAGAAATGCATTCAAAACTTTGAAGAAAGCGCTGATTACTTCACCAATGGTAGTTGCTCCAGACTGGAACAAACCTTTTGAAATTATGTGTGATGCGAGCGATTGGGTGGTTGGTTCTGTTTTAGGTCAGAGAAGAGAGAATGTGTTTCATTCAATTTATTATGCAAGTAAAATTTTGAATGAGGCACAGATAAACTACACCACCACGGAAAAAGAATTATTAGCCGTAGTATTTGCATTTGAGAGATTTAGATCATACTTGATGGGCACTAAAGTGATTGTGCATACTGATCATGCAGCCATTAAATATTTGATTTAGAAGAGGGATGCAAAGCCTAGGTTGATAAGGTGGGTGTTGTTGTTACAGGAATTTGACTTGGAAATACGTGATAGGAAGGGTGTGGAAAATCAGGTAGCAGACCATTTATCTAGGTTAGAGAAACCTGAGATAGGGGGAAGTGACATCATAGAGACCATCCCGGATAAGAGAATTTTAATGGTGCAACAATAAAAGGCACCTTGGTTTGCGGATATAGCAAATTTCTTAGCTTGTGGCATCAAACCATGTGAATACACAAGCCACATGCTTAGGAAATTTTTTCATGATGTCAAGTCTTATTTTTAGGATGACCCCTTTTTGTTTAAGCTTGGTGCAGATCAACTTTTGAGAAGGTGTATTCCAAAGTCTGAGGTGGCAAAAGTGTTGTATCATTGTCACCAAGCTCCTTATGGAGGACATTTTGGAGGACAGAGAACTGCTGCCAAGGTCCTACAGTCTAGTTTCTATTGGCCTACTCTCTTCAAGGATTCCCATAATTTTGCACAAAGATGCAATGAATGCGAAAGAAGTGGGTCCATTTCTTAAAGAAATGAAATGCCACTACATGGGATCCTAGAAGTTGAGTTATCTGATGTTTGGGGAATAGACTTTATGAGTCCTTTCCCCTCATCAAATAACTGCCAATACATACTGGTTACTGTAGATTATATCTCAAAATGGGTAGAAGCTGTGGCATGTGTTTCAAATGATGCCAAAACTGTGGTTAAGTTTCTTCAAAAGCAAATTTTTACGTGGTTTGGAACCCCCAGAGCTCTAATAAGTGATGAGGGTACCCACTTTATAAATAATTTGTTAAGTGGAGTTCTTGCAAAATATAATGTTAACCACAAAATAGCCACAGCTTATCACCCACAGACAAATAGCTTAGCAGAGTTGTTCAACAGAGAAAGAAAAAGTATTTTGGAAAAGGTTGTCAAGCCTAACAGGAAGGATTGGGCATTTAAGCTAGATGATGCTTTATGGGGATACAGAACTGCTTTCAAAACACCAATTGGTATGTCCCCATACAAGCTAGTCTATGGCAAGGCCTGTCATCTTCCATTAGAGCTTGAACATAAAGCATATTGGGCCATAAAATAATTAATTTTTTCTTTAAAAGATGCTGGTTTGAAAAGGAAGCTGCAACTCTGTGAACTGGATGAACATAGGTTGTTGTCATATGAAAATGCGAAGCTCTATAAAGAGAAAACTAAAAGTTGGCATGACAAGAGAATACAACACAAAGAGTTGAGATAAGGCCAGCATGTTCTTTTGTTTAATCCTAGACTGAAGTTATTCCCTGGAAAACTTAAGTCTAGATGGTCTGGGCCTTTTCTTGTTTTTAAAGTGCACCCTTATGGAGGAATGGACTTGGTAAACCCGAAAGATAACTCTATTTTCAAGGTAAATGACCAACGGGTAAAAGTGTACTATGATCCGGCAGCAGTCTCAGAACAACACTCTGAGAGTTGTGCTGCTCCCTGCTAAAAATCTCAAAATCCCCCTTGGACTTCTTAAAAGTCCACCTTTGTTTGTAAATAAGTTCTAAATTCATAGGTTGTTTGTGTTTTTAAAGTTTTAAGGTTTAGTGTGATCTTGAATAAGAATAGGTGAACTGCTTATAATGTGGTAGCATTCTAGGCCTGCAGCTTTGTGTGGAATGGGAAAAGTTGGTTGAGCTTTATTTTTAAATTTTTTCTTGAAAAAGATTGTTTTTGGTAGTGTTTGAGAAGGTTTTGGCGCCTGATTTTTGAAAAGAAAAGAAATAAGGAAGAGGGTTAAGGATATATACAAAGCAATGGTCTTAGGGTAGTACAAAGGAGTATAAGGTACATTACATCACCTCTTATACCATCATCACCTACCTTTTCAGTCAAGGGTGAAAATTGTCACTTATTAAAATAGTTAGGGTCTAAATGTCACATAGTGAAAGGGTGGGTTTGAGGGTTTTGTCTCATTTAATGAAGATAGTTGAAAGCTTTCTAATCCTTGTACTTTTTGTGTAAAACCGCCGGCCATAACCCCCCTAAACCCACTAAGTGCTTCTAAATCCATCATTAACTGACACCTTTTCTTTCTTAAAACACCCTTTCAATCACCCCCACTCTTCCCTCCTTTACTCTCCCCATCACTCTAAGAAATCACCACCATCACCGCCTTAAACCATCACCATTACCGTAGCCTACTGTCACATACCACCCCCCTTCCATCTTTTCTCTCCATCTTCCTTCATTTGTTGTCTCCACCATGGCTAGAGTCAAGACCAACCTCCACCAAGGGCGCCTGTTCAAAGAAGTAATCGTAGAAGGGCTGTTGTTATACCATCAAATGAAGAACCAGAGTTGGTAGAATTCAGTGAAAACAGTTCTTCTCCATCATTGAGTGAAGAAGAGGTTGTTTCTACTCCTCCACAGTCGGCTGCCTCTTCATCTTCCACTATGGCCGAACCTCTTGTGCAAGAACCAAGACAAAGAAGGGTTCAAATCAATGATCTCAATGAGCCTCCTGTGGATGAACCAGAGCATGACATTGAGGTAATATTCAACCCTACTGTTATTGTGGAAGAATAAGTATCCTCTGAATCAGGGGATGATGCCACTAAGGCAATGGATGTGGGAAGGGTCTATTTGCTTTCTTGGAATGATAAGACCACTGATGCCCCTATTCAAGAACATGTGGAGGCCACACCTCAAAGCAAGGATTTTGAGGTCACTGATGATATCCTGGCCAAAATGGGGGTAGACCCTTTTGAACAGGGGATTGAAGAACAAACCTCTATGGATGCTTTGTTAGAGGCTGTTGAGACTTTTTCCTCTCCTAGTCCCACTCAAAAGGAGCTTCCCTCTAAAAAGAGGAAGGCTTTGGGAAAGAAGGCAGCCAAGAAAACCTCTCAAACCACTGGTCCTGCTCTCATGAAGAAAGAAAGTGGTTGATGTTGCCAAAGGCAAGACAGTAGCCTTAGAAGACTCTCCTAGAAGAACCACAAGACAGTCATAGAATGCTGCAGCATCCAAACAGCATCCTGCTGCCACTTCCTCCACTCCAGCAATCACAAAAAGTTCCATGCTACCTTTGGAGGGTTTCAGCTCTGTCAAAGCCAAGGCTCTGTTCGAGAAATTCAAAGACAAGACTGCTTGGCCCAACAAAGGTTTTGATCACAGAAGTGTGGAGGAATGCCCATTTATCAAAGAGGTAATTAGTAGCTTAGGATGGCAAAGCTTCTGTGAGGTACATAGCTCTTACAATCTCTCACTCATTAGAGAGTTCTATGTCG